AAATATATGATAAGTATTAATAATAATCTTGAATTTTTAGCCATACAATTTTTTTGAACAGATGGGCCCTAAAAGAGAATCAAAAATTAACCCAACATGAACCAACAAAAAAAATAACAGAAGAAATTAAATCCTTACTTGAAATAATGTTCCACACTGGTACTGCAAATCTACAACAAAAAATGTCTGCCTAACAGATGCATAAGAATCTTATTCTACGTGTAGCACATAGTGAAATTGAAGCAGACAATATTCCCAAAATTACTACTATAGCAAACTGGATCAGTGAGTTTTTCAAAAAATGGAAAGCTGCAATGGCTATGCGTTCCATAGAAGAAGCAGAAACCTCAGAAGCTCTCAATATGACTAGTTTTTCAAAATAATTGTTGCAATTATATATTAGAACGAACAAAATTATTATATACTGTGATAATATTGCAACTTTAATTCAAAGAATAATTATGATATACTTCTCCTAATACCTTTTTTCTTGTGATCTAAATTCAATGGTGTTCTTGTAAAATCCTCTGCAAAAAGCTTCTGCTAATGCTTTTCTTCTACTAATCAAGTTCAATTCAAACAAATTCAAAAAATCAGTGTAATATTCGTCAAAGTAGTTAGGTGATGTTTTTACAAAACGTCTCTGCTAATGCTTGTTCCTTATTCAAAATTCAAGTTAGCATGGTGTTTCTGCTAACACACTCTTAAAATTTAAAACAGCCAGAGGCAGTGCTATTAACAAATGCCTTTGCTAATGATTTTTCTCCTTCTAACTAAAGTTCATCCAAAATACAAAAAGCCAGTGTGATTAGAGATGTAAACCAAACCTGGTAGTTTCGGCACTTGCCCAATCCCAAACTGGCCAAACTAGTTTAAGACTTTGCTATAACTAAATCCCAAACTAATACAGTATTTTAAAATTCTGAAATAATACTTATAATGTAAATTCTAGCCAATTATTTTTATTATCTATGTAATAGATCAGGATTTTGGCACATTATTTGAATTTCGGCAAAATGTCCCAATCTCAATCCCAAACTTGCCAAAATGCCCAAACTTGCTGTAAATAGTTTGGGCTATATCTATAAGTATAATATACTTGCAAAGTGTTTTAGCTAATATTTTCTTCTATCTATTCAAGATTCAAAGTAATTAGGATAGTGTTCTTGTAAAACGTCTCTCTAATTTTCCCTCAAATTTCAAAAAATAAGCATGGTATACTTTTAAAGTGTCTTTGCTAGTATTTTTCTTCAATTTAATCCAGTTAAGATTCAGAGTAGACAGAATAATGTTCTTGCAAAGCATCTCTGTTAATACCTTTTTTTCTTCTGATTTAAGTTCTCTGCTTAAGATTCAAAATTCAAAGTGGTGTACTTGCAAACATTTTCAAGAAGCACTTCTATTAACGCTTTTTCACCATCAGATTCAAGCCTAATCACTCGAATTTTAAAGCAATCAATACGGCATTCTTGCGTAATAAGTCCTATTAATATAAAAAAACAAATATAATATATCAGAAACTATATTAACGACTTCATAATTTCAATTTGCTCTAATAAATTAAACTATATTACCTCCTCAAAATCATTTGTTTTTTTATAGATAAGCTATCAGTATATTTGCAAATTCGCAAATTTTTTTGCAAAATTAGAAAGGTAAACTATTTTATATATATAGTGTATTATAAAGAACAATAATTTCTAGTTAGATTATTACAATATTATACATTTGTTCTTTTTGTACAATGTTACTTATTAATAGTTTATAATCAAAATTACCCCAAATGTATATAGTAATTTTCTGTCAATCTTAGCCGAATTATCACTTAAATAGGCAACCAAAAGTTGCATGTATGGCTAGTCGTACTCTTATTAGTTAAATAATCAGAGAGCTTAAATAGATAATCTCCTAGTTAGGTTGCAGGTATGGCGGCTAGTGTAGAACCCAGGCGGACTACTTAAATTAGATACCAAAAGTATATATGTGGCTAGTTGTATCCTTGTGAAATTGATGTAATATCGTAATTACCTAAATAAAGCTAAGTGCCGAGGGACCTAAGTGGTCATCTTAATATTAAAAAAAATATATATATATAATAGTTTAAATTTTTTTAATATAAATATACTGGTTTTAAACTTTTAAATAAAAAAAATTATTAAATTTGGTGTAGTGGTTGCTATATAAAAAATAAATTTGTAATTTCAAGTTTTTTTTGCAAACTTCTAAAAAAATTTATAGAAGTTCTGAGGTAGAAAAGCCTAATATTGGTCTTTATTAAAAAAATTATTATAGTATTTAGAAAGAAAAAGAACAAAAACTAAGATAAATTAGTAAGACAATAATATTATTCTTGGAGATTAATTGGCTAATAATTTTATTTTTTATTGTTTTTACTTTATTTTTACTTTACTCTTTAGTATTATCAGGTTGTTATTCATTAATAACTTCTAATTTCACAATTTTTCTTTTTGAAATATAGCACAATTAAGAAATTTATCTATTATTTTGTTTGAATACTTATAAGTTCTTTAATTGTTTTTACTTTTAACCTATGGCAAAATATTAGGCTTATTTTTAATACAGTCAGACCTCCTAAATGCACCCCCTAAATGCAGCACCTCTCTAAATGCATGACAGATACCCGGGCCCACGACGGGCCTTATAGATAAATACACGTTCTATATTCTGTAAATGCACGCTACTTTTTTGGCCCTTTAAATTTAAACCAACTCTACATAGCATAACTTACCTCAAGTAATTAAAATAATGTTCAAATATCTTGACTCAGCATTCTTTAAGTTTTTTATAAAAAATAAAAAAGTTCAGCCCCAACATCAAAAAGAATTTAATTCACTTCTACAAATGGTAATTGAAAAATACAAAAAAACACACAATGTTCACTTTATTAACAAGTACAACAAAGATTAAATATACCTGAAACTTAAAGCAAAACTTGCTCTAGACTTTATTTGCAATTTAAACTTTGTAACTAATAATCCTCACAATTGCACTTAGACAATTACTTACTATCTTAACTTTGCACAAATTGCTTGCCTACTTAGTTTTGAAGATATATAAAGTTTGCTTAACAAAACTTATACATTATTGCTTGTTTCACTACCCCAGAACCTACTTCAAATAGACCTGTCTATTCAACAGATACTTCCCTTTTTGCTACCAATTCAAGACTATAAATATACCAGAGCCACTGTACTTGCTCTTAGAAAATTTTTTTTTTCAATTAACTTCCAAATAGCTACTTCTTTACTATTTTTGAACCACTTCTAGACAACCTCTTGGACCTTTATGTAGAGATCTGTAATCTTTTTTCTATTACCGAATACTTCTGTCTTTTACATTTTTTAGAATATAAACAAAAATTAAAAAAAATACTATATTGTAGAAAGAATCCTCTCAAATTACTTCAACCTACTAAAAGCTAGGCCACGTCTCCTCTCTACTTTCCAAAATCTCAACTTGGTAGTTCAACATTATTTTCCTTGTAATCCTATTGATACCTCAAAATTCCAAAGATATGTTGATATACTTAGAGAACACTACAGCTTCAAATATATTTCTAATAATTACTTTATTCAAAAAAAATCTCTTCTTGCTGATTCATACTTAATCAAAACCATTAGTACTATTATATTAGCATATTTTTATTAGATTAGTTATACAAATTATTATTTATAGTCTAGTATAGATCACACAGTTTAAATTTATACTATTAGTTTTCTTAGTGAATTTTTCACCGGTTTGAATTTAGATACATATTTACTATAGTACCTTAGTATAGTATCTTAGTATAGTATCTTAGTATAGTATCTTAGTATAGTACCTTAGTATAGTATTTTAGTATAGTATTTTAGTATAATACCTTAGTATAGTATATACCTTAGTATAGTACCTTAGTATAGTACCTTAGTATAGTATCTTAATATAGTAATATCTTGACATGTTTTACTAATATAATAATAGTATTTTCTTAATAATTCTAAAGCTATATAAACCCTGCCTTTTTCTCTAAGGCAGGTTAGGCTCTGTTTAGATTTTGGTTCTTATTTTCTTAATCTTATACCTAATAAATATATATTATTCTCTTAACTATATATAAATCTGTTATATTATATACTTTCTTTTATTGCCTTTTGTTATTCTTTGTTGCTTTTTTTTATTACTTTCTATCTTGATTTTATTGTCTCTTTTATTGCTCTCTCTTACTACTTTTTATTTAAGTTTTATTATTTTTTTTGTTAGTTTTTCTTCTTGCTTTCTATATTTTTATACTATATATTTTATATTCCTTGTCTCTAGTTTTTTTTTCTTTCTTCTCCTTTTTTCTCTTTTATTTATATTCCTTACCTTCTGCGCGTTAAGTCAAGTAATATAGTTAATACCCCAAGAGTTTCTATATTACAGTTTTAGCAATGACAACAGGACCTGTAATTCTTTGTGTTTTATTATGATTAATCCCTTTTCTACAAGTTATATTTTTTTTTTATATTTTTCTTTCTTCTTCTTTTTTCTTTCTTTTTTGCTCTTTTTTCTTTCTTGCAACCTTCTTTCTATTCTTATTTGTCCATTTTTAATCATCATATAATTTGGTTTTTACTAATTGTCTTATTGTTATACAAGATACTCTTGTACTATTTCAAAAACAATTATTTTATTTTTTCTTATTATAGCCCCTGTAATAACTAGGTGACTCCAAAAATAATATTTAGATAATGTTATACAAAACAAAAACTTTTTTAAATTTTTTTTCTTATACTTTATCTAGGGTGCTGGTCAAAATCCTGACAAACAGAATCCTGAAAGGTCAGAATCTCGACAAAAAAATCCCGACAATTAAAAATCCTGACAGTTAAAATCCTGACATTTCACAATTGATAATCTATTTTTTTTTTATATTAAAATTTTTTTTATCTACTTCTGCGTTTGTTTATTAACTTTTTTCTTGTAATTTTTTTCAATTTTCCTTTTTTTAGCCAACTTTTTTAAGCTTGTGCGTCGCCGGAATTGATTTCGACTTTCTTTTGGGTTTGGTGTCTCGCCAGGATTGGTGATTTGGACTTTCTTTTCTTTCTTGTACTTGTACTTCGCCGGGATTGATGATTTAGATTTTCTTTTCTTTCTCGTGCTTGAACTTCTCTGGAATGGTGATTTGGTCTTTTTTTTCTTGTATTTGTTCTTTACTGGGTTTAGTGCTTTGGACTTTCTTGTGTTAGTTTTTCGCCGGGTTTGGTGCTTTGGACTTTCTTTTTCTTAACTTTCTTTGTTGTTTTTCATTTTTCAATGCTTTGAACTACTATTTTTTCTTAGTAGGTTCTTCGCCAGAAATGGTGATTTGAACTTTCTCTCTCTACTTGTGTTTGTTTGTTCTTCACCAGGTTTGGTGCTTTGAACTTTCTTGTGTTTGTTCTTCGTCGGGTTTGGTGCTTTGGACTTTCTTATATTTGTTCTTTGCCAGGAATGGTGATTTGGATTTTGACTGTAGTGATAAGTAACTTTCTTAGTTATTTTTCATTTTTCAATGCTTTAAACTAACATTTTTTTTTTTTTATAAGTTCTTTGCAGAAATGATGATTTGGACTTTCTCTCCCTACTTGTGTTTGTTTGTTCTTCACCGGGTTTGATGCTTTGGACTTTCTTGTGTTTGTTCTTTGTCGAGTTTGGTGCTTTGGACTTTCTTGTGCTTGTTCTTCGCCAAGTTTGGTGCTTTGGACTTTCTTGTATTTGTTCTTTGCTGGGTTTGTTGCTTTGGACATTCTCTCCTTTCTTGTATTTGTTCTTCACTAGGTTTGGTGTTTTGGACATTCTATCCTTTCTTGTATTTGTTCTTTGCTAGGTTTGGTGTTTTGGACTTTCTTGTGCTTGTTTTTTGCTGGGATTGATGAATTAGACATTTCTATATAATAATAAGTAACTTTTATTACTTTTTTTTTTTTAATTTTTTTAACTAAATTTTACTTTGTAAACTTATACTTCGTCGCTTATTGTTTCTTATTGTATTCTATGGTGCTCTTGTAGTAGATTGTGCATTTTTTAGAGTTAAAATTAGGATTTAGAGTTAGGGTTGCTAATAAGAGTATATGTAGATTTTACTCAGTATTATGAGGATTTTACTAATAATATGATTTGTGATACGTAATAAATAAAATTAGCCTATTATATGTACTTTGAAAATTTTTTTTATTTAAGCAATTTGAATTTATATAATTTTATATACAAAAATATAATATAAATAAAAATAATAAAAGTTTTTTAAATTGTTCTTATTTTTTATTTTATTTTTTTATAGAAGTTAATACTAACAATATATGTAAATAAATCAGAATTGTACTATGTTGTTGAGGTGAACTTTACTAATACTATGACTTATAGAGAAAAGTTGTGTGCTATTCCACAGAGGAACTCTATTACTGTATAGTTTTGTCAGTTATAGATAATAGTGTCTAGTCTTTTTTCTCTTTCAATTATATCTTTTTTTGGTTTTAGACATGGTGTACCATGGAGAATAGTTTCAATTTGATACTCAACTTGTTGTTGCTCTTTTTGGAATTTAGTAACAATGGTATAAACACCCACGTGAGATCGATCAACTAAATTTTCCCAATGTTGGTGCCAAGCCTCAACAATATTTGATGTTCTAGGAATATCTATTTCCATGGAGTCATGCACAGACTACATTTGTGGTGAAAAAAAAGATAGCACATGACTACGAGTACCATTACACATTTGTCATCTTATTTTTCTGTATACGTAATTATCTTCAAACCATTGCACTATTTTATTTGTTTACGGAAGCATTTTTTCTTTTAAAATATCAAATGCCACGGGAATTTCTTTTGATAGTTAGAATGCTAATGCAAATAGCTATTGTAGATTGATACTTAATTTCTCGTCAGTACCATACTGAGTTGATAGCCCATACTCTTGTATTTTTCTCTAGCCACTTTGTCCTAGATGAAAGAAGTATCCTTTATTATGAACACTAGGAAACTCATCATGAGATGCATTAATTGCAGTAAGTTCAAAATCTGTAAGAATCGTTGTAGGTCTTAATAAAATATTACTCTCTTCTGCGAATTCAATAAATCTTGAAATAATGCTCTATATAATTCTTCAGATTTTTTTGTTATTAAAGCATATACTAATAGAAGAACTCTTGAGTTATCTACAGTGCCAATAGGAGTATGAATTGTATATAATTGGCAAAAAATAGTTGGGACAGTCTTAAAGATACCATCTATTATCCAATATAACACTCTAGATAAGTGTTGTATATTGGCTTTTGTAGTAAACAAGATAATTCTATTCTTTCTAATTATAGAATCTCTTACTAAAAAATTCTCTTTATTTAATGTTAAACAAAGCGAATCAGATATGTCAATGTCATCAAGATTCTGAGGTTGTGGTGGCATGTCTGCTCATCTAATTCATTTGATTCATACACGTAAAGTATTTTGTGATGAGATATAGAGATAGATTTCTCCTAGAATACTAACGATACTATTTTAAATTACTTGAGCTAGTTGGTCATTTGTTTATTTAGCTTGTTCTTTTATATTAGCAATACTTTTAGCTACTTCGGCACTACTCGCTTGTAGAGAGTGATTATGAGCTATAAATTATTTAAGATAATGTAACTTATTTATAAATTTTGTTATAGCTTGACCTTTATATTCAAGTAACTTTCTTTTTTTGCAACAACAGTAGTACGTATCCTCACGATACTTGTCTTTTAACATCAAATAACTACGAATATTTATTTTATCCATTCCTTTTTGAGAAGGTACAATTTTGCAAATTTTATTTATTATAATAAAAGAATTTTTAAATAAATATTTTTGAAATAAGTAATATATATTTATTTAGGAAATAATAGCTCAAAGGTCGAATCTTGTCTTTACAAAAAGAAAAATTAATTCTTTTTATATTTTTAAAAATATAGACGGCATAACAAACTCAAAACTAACAATATTTTTTAATTCAATAAACAAAATTGAATGATTTTGGTATATTCGATTTGAAAATATAAAATCTATCAAAATATCATTGATTCATAACACTTTATTAAATAAAGATATCTTGCGATTGAATGATCAAACGAACAATTTTAGCACCATTTGAATGATACGTACATATGCCCACAATCAAACAATATATCATATGATATAAAAATTATATCCCTTAAACTGTATTCCAGACAAATTTGCCTGAAATTTTAAAAAAGTATTTATAATTTTTTAAATAAAATTAAAAATTATTAATAATATGGGGTATATTTTATATATACAATATTTT